GTCAGGGGCACCGGTGTCGTGGTCATCGAAGAAGCAGGACACCGTCGCGCTATCCACGGTCGAGGCCAAGTACAATGCGCTCACTCGGGGTGCCAAGCAGGCAATGTGGATGTACAGTTTCCTGTCGGAGCTGAACATGCCCCAAGAACGCCCGGCGACGATTTACTGCGACAATACCGGTGCTGTGGCGCTAGCGAAGGACGCGAAGGGACACGCACGCATCAAGCATATTGATATCCGGCAGCATTATATTCGGGAGCGCGTCGAAGCGAACGACGTTGAAGTCTTACGCGTCGCATCCGCGGATAACCTCGCAGATCTCTTCACTAAGATCTTACCCCGCGACGCGCATCTCACTGCCGTACGTGCCCTCGGCCTCACGGAGTAGTGGAGGGGGGTAGATGCCCATGGAATCGGTGTGTTATTATATATTCCTACTTTACTTTTCCCTTTCACTCTCTGTTGGCTCTATCCCTCTATCCGTCCCATCCGCGCCAGGGGGAGTGTTGAAGTATTGGCACGGCTGGCCATATAGTCGGGGAGGCGGCTATGCTGTCTCCCGTATGCACCGTTATTCCCCCTATGTACACTACTTAGTTTCAGCACGATCCTCGCGACCGATCTACCTACCGATCACATATATAAACCCCGTAGCCATGACTCGTACCTCAGTCGTTCACTCTGAAGTGCCCGCCTGAGCTATGAGCTCTCTCTTACTTATTTGTTACCCTTACTCACTTCTATATTAGTCTTACTTCGTCTATTAGGTATATAATACAGTCGTTCACTCTGAAGTGCCCGTCTGAGTCTTACTTCGTCTATTAGTGGGGATGATGAGCGACCGGCGTGGGCGGATGGGGACATGTTGGGGGCGACAAGGCAAGGGAGGTTTGTGTTTCGACCTTATATATCTGGCCTTTGTTGGTATCCCACGCTAACTCTAACTCTGAAATCACCGCATGCAGGCACACGCGCACGATAAGCAACGTGATCGTACAATGACTCCATCCAAAATTTAAAATGTGATACCGGCAGCCGCAGCCCCACAGCCCGCCCTTTGCCGCCTTCACGGAAACTTTCCCCGCCCAATGCGGCCCATTCTGTGGGCCCTTCTGCTGTTTCTCATGCTAATACAGTGCTGTCCGCCCTGCAAGGAGGAATATCCGGCCTCATCTGCAGAACTCTTGAAGCACCGCAAGCGCTGCGATAAGTATGCAGCGTATGGGATTGAGCAGACAAGCCGGAGGAAAGAGGTCGCGGACCGCAAGGCTGACCGCAAGAAAAGACGCCGTCTGAACTCAGTACTACCCGGGGCCACTCTGGTGAGTCTGGGCCGTCTTTTTGACGTCCTTCAGCTGATCAAAATTTTATTGACAGAATATTTCGCCTGGCCCCGTTGCCGGACCATCTCATTCTACGGCCACACCTCCACCAGATTTCAACAAAGACATTACCATGGGAGACGCTCCGTCTCCGCCTCCTCGGCCGCCATCTCCCCCTCCCCTGCCGCAAATCTTGACAAAACGGTCTGGACGGCCTATACGACCACCAAAGAGACTTCCGCATATCGTCACACCACAGCCGGCACCCATCGTTGTCTTGGCCCCACCTCCTGATCCTGCTCCCGTACCTGTAGCACGCCGTGTAATTTTTCACGTCCGTGATACAATGCAAACTGCTTTAAATCGCTTTCGCATCTTTCGCATCTCGGCACCACAGAAAGAACAGCCTTCAGCAGAAGTAACATTAGCATCCCAGCAGCTAGATGGACCCATAGCAGAAACACCGGGGGAAGGAAGTCGTGACCATCCGGATGGGGAGGGTGACAATGAGGGTGGAGTTGATTCGGAGGAGGACTCGGATGTTGAGCCTCAGGATCTTGACTCGGACGATTCAGACGAGGGCGAGGGATCCGATGGCGCCTACGATGACGATGCAGAGCACGACGACAATGATTTTGCAAGCGTGTAATGCACTCGCCATATCTGCACGGTATTCCAATACATGTATAATTATTTCGAGTAGTTGCAAATGCCATTCAATATCCGTGCATGAATTATGTTAAACTACAATGCCACATAAACCAGGTGTGCGGGTTACATGGCCGGGACAATATTGGAGCGAACTTACAAGGCCTTGTAAGGCCTTGTGAAACGTCGGCAATCTTGCCGATCAATTGTAACCCACACAACGTCATTCAGGATTTTCCCGAATTCGCTACTAGTAGAAAATGTGAAAATTACAAAAACCGGCGTATGTTCCGCCATTCACGGAAAAGTACCCCCTTGGACTTGCTCAACTCGCGGCGCGACGAGAACGTCGAAGATAGAGACTCGGCGCGGCGGATGCGATCAAAATAATGACGGCGAATCGACGCAAGAGCGAAAGCCCGCTGTCTCGTACGACCGCAATTTCGCATTTCGACTGGCAGATGCTTTTCTGTTGTTCCTGGCTCTTCCTCGGCCGGGATCTTGTCGAGATCTATTAGCTCTGCGTCGTACTTCAAATTTTGCCCGAACCCCCGCCCAAACTGGTAGGTCAAATCACATCCTGTGCCCATTAAATTGGCCCTTCCTCGACAATATCGATCTCCATGATAGACCACAACTGCGGGTGAAGGTCTCTCTGACACAAAAAACCTCAACAGGCTCTGAACCGGCGCTAATCCGTCTCTCTCTCTCTGGCTATTCCCGATCCCCGCCGCATAAATTCGTGATGGCCACAGGTCTACCGTCATCATCTCCAAATTCGAAGTCTGCCGATAGCAAGCCAGAGACCCTGCCATATCCCAAATGTGCAGCTGAATCCAGGAGTAGTCTATACGAGCTCTTCTTCTAGAGATGAATGCAAAGGAGCGAGATCAGAGATAAAAGTATTTGCCTCCACTTTAAAAGTCGAGCATCCAGCTCATTTTCGCTCGTAGAGCCTCATCCTACCACACTCGGAAACCTATCAATAGGATCTTTCCATCCAGTAGCACTTGAACCCGGAACTCGTCGTGCTCACTGCTCCTGGCGCGAAATTGTCGCCCTACACGCTGCTTGATGCGCCTGATTAGTCAGGCTTGCACAGCATCCCGGACGAATCCGGTCAATGGCGATCGCATTTCTTCCGCCCTCTAACTTCCCGCAATGACTATGGTTGGAGACGACACTTCTGGATCTGAGATAAATCAGCCAGGACTCATCCAATAGCATGCAACCCACTTTTATGTAGCTTAGTTTAATGTAGTTAGTGTATTTTGTGCATGCATGCCCAAAGGGACTGCAGTGTCGGGTTCAGGATGCATGTCTCCTGGATGTCGGGGAGTTATGGTGATGAGCAGGGAACTGACATCATCTCCCACTGGGTTTTACCTGACTGTCCAGCCTGTGTCGTGCCGGGGAGACATGCACCTAACAAGACTCTCCGCCCCCCTTCGGTAGTATGTTGTGCTCTGGGGCTTCTTGGGAGCTGTGTGTGGATAGCCGCCCATGCATTAGTTACCTTGTTAGCACTCAGTAAACTGGTTGTTCCAATTTTGGGACCGCGCCAGTATAATTTATCCTCCTCCTCCTCCTCCTAAAGCCTGCCGCCGCCGCCGACCATCATGTGCCGTACCGATCAAGTACTCGCTCAGGCGTCTCATTCTGTGGTCATTTCCCTCTCCACGACGCCCTGCCTGACGCTGTGTGTGGATCGGGTTGGTTCGAATATTAGAACGAGATTCAAGCCGCCTTTCGCCGACGCATGTGTATATCGCGCACCGAATATCAGTCGCACTTGTCCGATATTGAACCCGTGCCGCGCTGTCACTGGCATTGATCCATTAATGAACTAACAGTCTTCACCACCATCAATAAACCCCCGAAATCTCTCAGCATAACTTCGCCCTCCTATCCGACATGCTCTCAACTAAGAAAAAAGACACTCAAGCTACGCCTGCTGATCGCTTGCGAAATTTTGAACTACTTTCCTGCTGTGGTGGATTCGGATATGCTAAGTGAATTCACCTCTTCGCTGGACTGGGGATGAGCTCGCCAGACACGCGCCTCCATCCTCCATTCCTCACTAAGCACTAAGCACAAAAAAAAAAAGCCACCCCTCCATATTATTCGAACACGGGAAGTCGAACCCCGTACTGCCTCCTAAAGTGGCTTCGTCGAAATTTCAGCCGAAGAGGACATGTACCGTACACCATGTCCGAGTTACTTGCCTCTCCTTCAGCTGAGGCTAAATGAATTCAACTCAGTGGAAATTACAAAGATAGAGCGAAATGGACAGTTGATTTGAGTACATTTTCCTGAGTCCCGATTGAAAAGAAAAGCAAAAGCAAAGCCAAACCCCACGCAGCCCTGCGCGTAATTCTAGAGCTCGTTGAATTAAAAATGGCATTTCTCCCGCAATTTGCTCCATTCGGACACGGGGAGTTGAACCCCGAACTGACTCCGCAGGTTGGGAAGCCAAACAAGCGGTGTACACCACACCACGTCCGAGCTACATATCCCTCCCCGTTGTTCAATTCAAGTTGGCAAAGGAGATATGTAGGTGGCTGCCATTGTTGACTCGCCCAAGTAATTAATTTCTTCCGCCATTATTCAACGCAAACTGGGGAAAATCTCCCCCATAAAATAACTGAATTCGACGTGTACCTCTTGAGCTTGTTGAAAGACGCCGTCCTTATATTTTCTGTTCAAAAAGCGAATGCCTGGATTGCCCATTCAGACATGGGGAATCGAACCCAAACTGCCTCTAAAGCTAGATCTTTGCTACCTGTTCACATACAAAGGCGGTGACCGTACACCATGTCCGATTTATTCCTTACATTGTGCAACTTCCAAGTGCACTCAGCAAGGGGATGAGGGGTCTGCTTGAGCGTTTCTTTCACGCTTCTTTCGCGCTCTTCTTTGTTGGTAAGCCTGCCGAAAACCCAAAAAAAAATCGTAATTCAAGGAGATAACCTTGCGAACACGGTGAAGCCAAGTGGTACTTAAAATCTTCTGAAAAAGAAATTGCATTTATTCAGACACGGGGAATCGAACCCCGTACTGCCTCTTGATAAGACGATTACGGCAATAGTTGGAAAGGACGTGTACCGTACACCATGTCCGATGTTGTGCAATTGCTCAAGTGAATATTCACCTCAACCAAAAACACTAGTTCACCAACTTTGATGTTGGTGGTTGATATTAGAGTCTGATTTTTCAAGGATGAGTTGGAAAACAAACCAACCCTGTGCATAACTCTAGCCTGAAAGATGATCACCATTCGTTGTATTTCCTTTCCCAAAAATAAAAGCCGTGGTCCTTGAAGTCAGTGTATTCGGACACGAGGGATCGAACCCCGATCTGGAAACTTCTTCGCTATCTGCGTGCTCAGATACAAAGGCGGTGTAACGTACACTATATCCGATTGATTTATTCCCTACCATTGTGGCATTGCTAAGTGAATCAGTGGGCTCGGACTGGTGTATGTGCGACGAAAATATTCATCCAACGTTTGATTCTGTCCAATTTTCTGAAGCTTCCAATCCCCCACATGAAGCATCAATCGTAAAATGCTAAAATTAGGGCTGGACAGCGTCCCGTATACGGCTGAGCGTGAAACTTGGTGATATTGTTACAGTCGGAGGGACGGCCGTCAATTGATTTTGTGGCGGATCAAGCGGCAATCATGATTCCGCCGTAGTAGTGAACGCGGCCGTAACGGCTGCGCGGCTCTACGGACCACCGTGCTTTACTGTTCACGGTTACGGTGTCTAACCCCAACTAGCGCAATATTTGCAGCTCCGCTATTTGGACACACAGAAAGTCAAACCTCAGACTGGTAATTCAGAAATTAAACTGCCAACCAAAGATGGTTGAATTTTTTATATCGACGTCCATATATCCGTGCACTCAGACTTGAAAAACCACTTTATTCAACCAAATAATTTTTAGAGGATCATAAGTTTCGCACACGGAGTCGAACCCCGAGCTGCCTCTAGTTGAAGATCGCAACGAGGATTTGCATAGCCAGAGGCCGACGGCTGTGTGTCATACGCCATGTCTGATTTACTTTCTAGCATCGCCCCAGGGAAATTGGCGAAGCCTCCAGGCCGCTGCGTTTGAGGGTTCACGGGGAAACCTACTGCCGGTACACGAGGAGTATCGAGACGACGATTGATCTGCAGCGAAGCCCGGGCCGCTGCCCGTCGCTTGCATTTGGGGATATGCATCATAAATAGCAATCCAACCAAAATCGAACGATTCCTCTTGGATTCCTCCACCATAAGCTCCGAGTTGGATGAAGCTCAAGCCCCAAAACGCTCCGAGCCGCGTGGTCACGCTGCACGGGGCATGTTCCGCTTTTCTTCAATCTGTCAGGTGATGCATGTTATAGTGATCATCGATCACTTACTGTTTTTTTTCTTTCACTTCTTCCGGCAAGGACCCCACACATTGATATTCAAGCAGACACGTCCCAGTACAGCTGGATGTGATTTCTAGACTCGGCGCGATTTGCGTGGGTTAAACTTATACCCAGGTTCTACTCCATCTGTCTGGCCTTGAGGCTGCATGATCATCCAGCTCCATACAGTGATATACTTGACAGCGCATCCCTCGGTTCAGGAGGAACCAACAAGGAAGTCTGTCAAGCTAAAATACTGATCCAGTCGGGTAACTCCCAGTGAGCTCCTTCAAGTGGCTGGCCGAAGAAAACCTTGGGGCAACTTCATGGCTTTCCTTTGGCTTTGAGCGACTGGTGCCTGGAAAATGACATCTTGATTCTCATACGCTTGGCTACCTTCCCGTTTGATACTCGGAAGGTTGCAGCCAAGTTGCAGCCCGCGCTGCTCACATCCAAACGGAGGAATCAATATTTCGGCGACACTTTCCGCCATGGCATGACTCGGCTAATGCGGGAGTAAGTAGAACTCGAGTGTTAGCTTTGCTGCACTGCTGGCCGCTGGAATGCCTCGGGTCTGAAAAGTGTGACTTGGGATTGCGACAAGGTACGCAAACCGATATCTCCTCGGAGACGGAGGAGCCGAGTCCTGCCTCGAGCGCTGCTCCGGTACTATCTCACTGTCAAGTACGTCCACCGGGCGTGTTTTTAATCTGGCAGCTGCCCGGAAGTGTTGACCCGATATTAGTACGTGCGCCTGGATTTTGTATAAAAGCACCTGATTTCTCGCTTCAACCCAATCAACCAGGAAGACATCCTTCGCCATGAAAGCGTCTACCATACTGGTTGCCTTACTCTCCCTTGCTTCTGTGGCCGTGTCCTCGACCATCCCTGGTTCGTACTAATTTTCACTGTCTGCGATAGCTATTTATTTACTCTTCGGAATTCAGCACGAGGCGCACATATATCGACGTGTCCCGCCAGCGATCGCGTCCTGGTTGAGACTCACACCATCACTGCCGGTGCACACGAATTCCAAGTCTCTACCAAGGCCTGCTCCGCAGATGTTCTGGCTAGTGACAGCGCTCCCCGCGCTGTGCAAAAGAGACAGTACAACTCATGTGCCTCCGGTGGCAAGTTGCCTCTTCATCCACCATGCTCTGGCGGGAAACTCAAAGCCCTTCCACAGAGACGCAGACATATACATGCGTGGTCGGCGAAGGCGAAGGCCCACTTTACACTGACTGTGTTGCGCTTGCGAACGCGATCACCGCAACCTATGGGACTAACTACGAGGAGCTGTTCACCGTGGAGCCCCAGTTCGTGCAAGAGTTCTCCCTTGGGACGTGTTTGTTCGCGTGGATCAACGAGAACCCGGTGGGCGGCGCATATCTGGAATACTGCTATACAGGACTCGCGGTATGCCATTTTCTTTCTACTGTTCCTTGGCGAAGAAATGCTCAATGCACATGACAGGAGGTGCTCGCCGCCAATATCGATAGCAGTTGTATAATCAACGGCGACACTGGCGGATATGTCATCCCCAGCGGCTCCAATCTTGTTCCCGCGTCCATAGACTGGGTTTTTGAGTGTGTCTTTCTGCCATCTTTCAAACAGGATGTTATGCTGACCATACGGTCTGGTCAGAGTTCTCATAAGCTGAGATTCGGTCAATATCGTTTCGAATAGGCGTCGGGTACAATTTGCATTCGTATTCTGTACAGACTGTACTAGGTTCTGAGCATGGAAATTGTTTGAATGCTCAGATCGGAGAACCAAATGCGCTGGGGCGAACAAAGATCGTTTTTTATTGCTCAAGTGAGAATAAGTGGACCAATGTTGATTGATGATTTCTTCAGCCATGGTTGAAAGCAAACCCGCGCATGAACCTCATCAACACGAAACATACACAACCTTCAACCCGTTTTAGTTCAATTTCATAGCTCCGATTCAAAAAACGGGAAAGGGAACGGAAATTCGTTCAGACGGGGTAAGCTGAAGAGGCTGTGTACCATAGCATAGAGCACGAAACAAAACGTGAACAAGGCGAAGTCTAAAATTCTGGATTCCGTTGATTGAACCTTTAAAGTTTGGTACTTACCTTCTTTCCAATAAAAAACAGTCATAACTGCAAAAGTATTCTATTCGGACACGAGGAGTCGAACCCCGGGCAGCCTCTGCTTAATAATTTCGGAACGCGCAATCAACAGTTCAGGAGGCGGTGCACCGTACACCATGTCCGAGTTACACACATCACTCTGCAAAATGCATAGAATCAGTGCACCTGAAAAACTAGCCTGACAATCTTAGTTTCAGCTACCAAATAATGTGAACTGTAATGGCACCTGGTATGTGGGAAATAAACCCTGATTTTCCAACTGATTCAGCACATGTCGGAGACCGGTTTCAGTTATTCTGACACCACTCATGTCAGGTGCAATTTACTTACACCTGATATGGCTCCTGACACCTGAAGTGTCAGTGGCTGTTTCCTTTTTATCTAAATGATGAGTATTAGGTATTGTGTCGGGCAGGTTCCCGACACAATAAAAATCAGGGCCCCTGATGCCGAGCAATGGCCAGGATCAGGCAGTCCGATTCTTATTGTGTTGGGGAACTTCCCTACGCTTTACCTGATTCTTATTGCATAAGTGCATCAGATACTGCTCCTGACACTCAAAATGTCAGGAACGATATCGGGTGTGAATACCTTGCACCTAACACCGGCAGTATCAGAACAGCAAAAACCGGCTCCGGCATGTGCCGAATCAAGTAAGAGATCAGTGCTGCTTCTTTCTCACATATCAGGTAGCATTTTCAGCCTCCTTATTTGGTTTCTGATTTTAAGAGTGCCAGATACATTTCTGGAGGCCCTGATTTTAATCATTTTGCGGAGTGCATTCGATGTTGAGTTCACTACGGCCGAAAATTCGATGTTGATGATTCGAGTCCGACCGCTGAAGGATTACTTCAAAGAGTAAAAGCAACACCAACTGTACCCTGGGCGTGTGTAATTGTAGCACGTGAGATGGAAGATAATGAAATGTTCAAAAAATATCGCCTCATACTGGTACAGGGAGTCTGGATTAATTGAGGGAAAACATTAGCTGGGAAGGGAACCTACTAAAAGCCTATATTGCCGGGAAACGAGAGCATTGCTGCATTGGTTGATTCAAACCTAAGTTAAATTCATTTAACTCGAGTCCAGGTTGAATTCACCGACCGGAGGAGGCGGTGTATCATGCCCGATTTGCGTCCTTGGTGGACCATCAGATACATATTTGGATGGAGAAAAAGGACCGGAAAGATGTGCTGCACACCATTTTGTCGAACTTCGACAAAAATACGAAGAATGAGTGGCTGATCCAACACCGTGATGAGATTTCAGGTCTCTAGCCACCATGTCAAGTGCATCCTCCTGCTTCACATGCAAGCTTATGTCCCGGTAATGGCAAAGATTTATTCAATTCATGTACAATTGGGAAGATCAGTTCAACCCATGCGCGATTTTGATGAGATCGGCTGCGCGTTCACCTACAATATACACGGGGACTTGCGTATGGGCTGCATCATTGAACACGGTGAGCTTCATGAAACAAAGTGACGAGAACAATTCACCAATATAGATGAGTCGGCGATCCGCAGCCCAGAAATGCCTTTCACAACGAGGTCTGGATCCACTACACCGAAGCTAGCACCCTTTGGCGACATGCTGGCCGTTCCGA